ATCGCCCTCGTTTCACTACACTTTCCCTTTGTTATTTCAAGGGTAGTTGTTTCTGAAAAGAAAAACCCCAACATTGCGGACACCCTGTATAGTCAATTGCGGATTTGGTTGTTTGGAACCCTAGTGTATTCTTCAGGAGGAAGGGCTGATGTTAGATTAAAGCTAACGAATACATCACTCAAAATCAGTTTGCTGTTCGAGTTGCTTAGCCAGTCGGTTACATCGGAATGTCACACGAAATAAGTGAACAGATTGAAAAATGGTACCATATTTTTCGTGAAGTTGAGTCATTAATTTTCAGATAATGATTGTAGAAGGAAGATAAACCAAAATATGTGTGTAAAAATAAAAAAAAATTAAAAAAAAAATGTTACCTTGTTTTATAAAGTATCCTCCCGACAAGTATTTCAGTGCGGACCTGTGCGCCCAAAAGCATGTCACAAAAACTGTTCGAAATGATTTCCGTTTTGCTCGACGCACAGCTGGGCGCGTCTTAGCCATGTCTCTTTACAAGCACGCAATAAAATCACTGGTTGATTTCTGATCACTGTACTCATTTCCTCAATTCGAGCACGTAATTCTTCGCGTATATTAACCGGTGTTTTATACACTAGAGTTTTTAGCCAACCCCACAAACAAAAGTCTAAAGGATTTAAGTCCGGAGACCTTGGCGGCCAAGGTACAAAACCGCCACGGCCGATCCAACGATTATTAAATTGTCTATTTAAAAATTCACGCACATTTCTTGCATAATGGGGTGGTGCCCCATCTTGTAAAAACCACATGTTTTGTCTAATATTTAAAGGCACATCTTCCAGTAAACCAGGCAAATTGTGTTGCAAGAAATCAAAATAATTTTCACCAGTTAAGCGATTTGGTAATTCAAAAGGCCCCACTAAAATTCCATTAACAATTCCCGCCCACAGGTTGATTGGTTCAAATCGCTGTTGAAAATTGGTTTCCCTTATTTCATGGGGATTTTCAATAGCCCAAACGTGAGAATTACGTGAATTAATAATTCCGTTTCTAGTAAAGAGGGCTTCATCACTCACTAAAATTTGATTTAAAAAATTGTCATCATTTTGATGTTTATTTAAAAGCCAATTGCAAAAGTCAACCCTTTGTTCATGACCTTCCGGTTGTAAGGCCTGCACTTTTTGTATGTGAAACGTATAGAACTGATTTTCACGTAGAGTTTTCCAAGTTTTATACTGACTAATCGCCAATTGAGTTGAAATTTGTCGGGTGCTTACTGTTGGATCATCACTTACTAATTCTAAAATTTGTTCTTCTAGTTCTATTTGATCGTGTGAGGTCTTAAGTCACCTGATTCACGAGCTCTTTGCACTACATTAACAAAGGCACGAGGGGTTGGTTGCACTCGATTGGGAAACCGATCCGCATAGATCCGTGATGCCGCGGCAGCATTTTGTAAAGACTCCCCGTAAATAAGAACCATGTCCACAAGTTCAGCATTTTCGTAAACATGTGCCATTTTTGATTTGAGCCTCGCAACAGACACGATTATTCACTTACGCGTTACCGACTACCGACTGATACTGACTGTATACAACTGAAGAAAATAATTGTAAAAAGATCGTTCCAAATTCTTTCGCTTTTTTGTTTCCGATGCGATGAACGGATAAGGCGGATTATATCTGTTGTTGCCAAACACGAGAACATAATATCATTATTGAGACAGGGCGGTACTCAAACTTCCAAAGGGCTATAACTTTGTTACTTTAATTTTACCAGAAAAATGGTAAAGGAAAAAAACATTTCTTTTGATCAAATCTACTCACTGTTAAAATAAATGACTCAACTTCGAAGTCACCCTGTATATCGTCTAGCTATCTACCTTTAGCTCTAGAACTTTTCGTCAATTTCATTAGTTTTCCAGTCGACAAAAATTGCTGCTTTGTAACCTGATATTTCCTGAGGGCAGCCAAATTTGTGGAGCTAATTGGTGAGATCCTTCCATCATCTAACACTATACTATTCGTCATTGTCTGTCAGAGCGGTCCGTAGGACCTTTGCTCTTGGTTGAAGTCTTGTAAGTCAGTAGGTCTGTCAAGTCTGGTTGCCCAGATACCAAAGTCAGGGAGAAAGAAGGGAAGAAGAAAGGAAGGAAGGAAGGAAGGAGGGAGAGCAAAGAAAAAAGAAGTGCATCAATTTGAGGGGTGCCTTGGCATTGCTAGTTAGTATTCGGTAATTTTAAATTGATCCTAAAATTAATTTTGGGATTGGTTGTTGAAGAAAAATTATAATTTTGGTTGGACCTAAAGTCGCACGATTTAATTTTGTTCACAGTGCGAGTCGCGGCCTTGAGTGCTTGCGAACTTGCTCGACTGTGTAGTCTACTGACTCGCGCAACAAAGGGTTGTTATGCGATTCTGCTTGACTGTAACGTAGCTGCGCTTGTTGTTTGATGTAGTCCCTTAGGTAAGGGATGTCAAGGTCTCTGTGAAGGGTCTCGTTGGAAACATACCATGGGGCGTTATTGATTGTACACAAGGTTCTGTTCTGCAAAACCTGCAGGCAACGCAAATGCGTTTTGGCGAGAAAACACCAAGCCGCACTTGCGTAAGTAATCGCTGGTCTAATAACCATCTTGTATAGTCGAACTTTGTTGATCAAACTTAATTTTGATGTTCTACATAGCATAGGGTAGAGTTGCCGAAACGAGATTTGGAATTTAGTTTTTAATGCTTCAGTGTGCTTCTGCCAGGTTAGCCCCTTGTCAAGAGTGATACCGAGATACTTAGCAGAGCTTTCCCATGGTACCTGAGCGCCATTCACTGAAACCTCAGACGGGGCGCCGCTACGTTTTTCAGTACAATAGATTGCCTGCGTTTTCGAATGATTAATTTTGATCAGTCACCGATTCGCCCATTCCAATACCTCGTCCACTGCACTTTGCAGCCTGTCGTGAACTAGATCCCCAGAGCACGACTGGGCCACCAGGGCAGTGTCATCAGCATAGAGATAGGTTTCACAGCTGCTGGGGCAAGGGACGTCATGAATAAAAAGTGAATAAAGGACTGGTCCAAGAACCGAACCCTGTGGGACACCGGCTTTGATGGGCCGTGTTGTCGACAGAACGTTATTAATTTTGATCCGAAATTTCCTACCCTCGAGAAAGGATTTCGAAAGTTTTAGGAGCCAGAAGGGGGAAGCCCTTATGGATCAATTTGTCGAGAAGGCCCTTGTGCCACACCTTGTCAAATGCCTTTGAGACATCCAGTAGCTGAAGTACCAGTACTTTCATTACGGGTGAACCCGCTGGTTACTCGTTCAGCAAGCCTTATGGCCTGTAGCTCCGTACTATGCTCAGACCGAAAGCCAAATTGCACGTCAGGAATCACATTGTGGTCTGCCGAGAAGTTTTCAAGGTGACGTAGAATCACCTTTTCAGCGAGCCTAGAAGGAGCTGACAGTAGACTAATGGGGCGGTAATCCTGAGGGAATATCGAACCCACCTTCTTTGGAATCATTATGACATCAGCGGTCTTCCACGCCGTTGGGAAGTGCTGGGTCCTTAGCATGGCATTGATTATTGCCACGAGATAAGTAAGGACTTCCGCGAAAGTAGCTTCAGCTCCTTATTAGTGATTCGATCCTCTCCAGGTGCTTTACGCACCTTGAGGTCTTTAATATGACCTTGGAGCTCTGCTGGTGTGCAATGCGGAATCTCAGGAGATCTCGCTGATGTGCCGTGCAGCTGTTCAATTGAGGAATCATTCCTCTGAGGAAAAATCACTAAGGGAGGCACTACTGCCACTGACGCCGTTGGTCCTAAAATATCTCCTGACGGATCTTACAATATGTTGCTCTTCGTCGAGGTCATTATCAAGGTCATAGTTGGGAGAGAACTGACTTTCCATTGCATCAGCGAAAACCTCGACCTTTTCCTCTGTCCAACAGACTATGCGCCTAGGACCGTGGATGTGCGGGAGTTGTTCTCGCTTTCCGTTTCCGAGCGACTTTGCAACTTTCCAGAGAGGAATACTTGAGTCAAGCATCCCCGACAGAAAGTCGCTCCTTTGCTCATTACGGAATTCATGAAGAGCATTTCTCACTTCATGAACAAGATTAGTTGCTCTGTGAATGTCATCTGGGTGACAAGACCTCTTCGCTTGCTTAATTGCAGCTCTTTTGTCAGAAATTTTCTGACGAATGTCTGCAGGGAGAAACGGTCTGCCGTGTCGTCGTACTGGTAGTACAGCTGCACGCTGCAGAGCTTGCTGAACGGAACTTGTCCACTCCGCTTGAGCAGCGTCTATATCGTTCCCATCATCTATGATCGGGATATTGGGGAACTCTCTAAGGAGCGACTTGTATAGCTCCCAATCAACCCTTTTCCTTGGAAGAGTTTCCCCTTCCAAGGTTTGCTCGTTACCCACTTCCAGTACGATAGGAAGATGATCGCTCGAAATGTCATACATGATTCGAGAAGTGACACTGAATCTACAGTTTCTAGATATCGCGAAGTCAATGACATCTGGTGCCTGAAGGTGATTAAATAGGTGGTGAGTCGGCTCCTCAGTGCTGTGTATGAGGTAGCCGTTTCGTATCACATGGTTGTAAAGTCGAATCCCACTGGTGGAATTTTACCTAGAGTGCCATGCTCGATGTTTACAGTTAAAGTCCCCTGCTACAATAAGCGGACCCGAGCAGTCAAACAGGATTTCCAGATCCGTCTCTTGCAGTCTGGCACCACATCTGACATAAACCGATGTGATTTTCAAAGAGATACCTCCCGTCATATTCACTACCACCGAAGTTGCCTCGATGCTCTGCATCTCAGCGTTTGTACTTCTGTAATACTTCGGGAAAGCTAGACGATCTCCCGGATTAAGCAATGTTTCCTGCAGCAGAGCTACATCGACGTTCTCATCCAAAAGAGCTTGATGAAATTCCCGTTTTTTTTTGAGACATCCCTAAGACCCAAACAATTCCAGAAAAGAATTTTAATGAATTCAGGCTGTCTGCTATTGTACCTAGCCATTTAGCGGAAAGATCGCCTGCAATGCCTTAGTGGCGCTTATCAGTGGACTAATAATCTGCTGTAGGGACCTGAGCGCTGTAGCTAGATCCACATTTTGAGTAGTCGTAGATGAGCTCGAAACAGCAGGGGCAGTTGAGGTGTCATCTCTTGCTGCGTCCGCGTAGGACTTTGCTCGCCTTTGTGCGATGACTTGTAGATTTCTCCTAGGAGTAAATCTACAGGTCGGACTATTTGCCGGATGGTTCCCCCCACATCTGCGAACCTCTTGTCCTGTTTGAGGGCACATATGTGTCCTGTGGTCTTGGGCACATTTTAGACACTTTGGCGGCGCAGTGCAATACGACTGTGCGTGTCCGTACTTCTGGCAGCGGTGACACTGCCCAATAAGTCGAGAGTTCTTCTGAACTTCGACTCTGATAGAGAGCCCCAGCAATTCGTGCTCGTTGAACACTTGCTGTGACTTCTCCGTCTTAGGCAGGATCACCACCATCAAGGGCATGGGCACGCCGCCGTTGCGCTTTAGGCGAATGATGTGAAAGGGAGCGTAACCCTTCTGTTCTAGCTCACCTTTGACCTCCTGTTTGGTGGTTGATGCTGGGATACCTCTGATAACCGCATGGATGTTGCGTTCAGTGGGCAAAGGGAAAGTGTGATGAGGAATGTTTTCCTCTTTGAAAAGACGGATTACCCTGCGATAATCGTCTTCGGTTTTGGGGATGATACGTATCCCAGCGTCAATGGCGACTGCTCGTTCAATACGAATACCAAGACTTACAAAGGAATAGTTTAAGGTCCGCCATTTTGTCGCATCTCTCAAAACGATTGGAGTAATACGCACCTGGCGAGGGGATTGGGCCTGTGTGTTTAGAGATCCGCTGGATGGCAAGGAAGATGAGTTGCAGCCAGCCAATGGATCAGACTGCACTTGGGGTATAACAGGAGGAGCACTCTGTGTGGATGCTGATAAAGGTCTTTCCCTTGGCTGACTAGTAGAAGCGGTAGAGGGTACAGACACAGATGGTTTTAGGTTGCCTGAATGTTTGTTATTTGGGGATTTCGTCGGTAGCGGAGGAAATTCTGTTTTGCGCAGTCTCACTTTGCGACGTCGCACAGGTGTGAAAAGATCACCCTGTGTGTCCTCATCGGTCTCAGTATGTAGGTCACTCGAATAGCTGTTATGTCTACGTTTTGCTGTTTTGGAAGAATTAACATTGGGAACTGTTTTATGAATGATACTTGTAAGCTTAAAAACCTGGGCATTAAGTGACTCCACACAGTCAGTCAGTCTCTGAATCTGGGCTGCTTGGTCTGCAATTATCTTCAAAAGTCTCTGGTTCTCGTTTTCCTTCTCCAGTATCGGTGTCATCCCTGATGTCATCATTGGCGTCATCTCGTTTTGGTTTTCTGGAATATATTCCAAAGTAGCGCTGCACTCCGCGCCAACTCCACTCATGGCAGTAGAGGGGTCGCCTGGGGACCCCTCGGGTTCAGCTTCCATAATATTATTGCCTTCTTTCCTGTCAAAATATAAAAATTTCTCCGGATGCAAAAATTTGGCAATTAATGATCTAACACTATTTTACTGCCACAATACCAAATTGACAATTGTTGACAAATTCATTCCGTCAAAGTCAACTTTATGAGAAATTGATATAAGGAGTGTTCATATGCAATATGACCAAAAAGAAGAAAAATGAAAGTGAAAACGAAATTCTAGAACCAAACATTCAAATTAGCGTAAGTGAAAAGAGTACCAAAGAAACTCTTGTCAAAGAGAATTGTTATCTTAAACAGCTTTTAGAAGAAAAGGAAAGAATTGTAGGTATATCAATTGGTAAATGAAAACCGTAGGCTACAGGAAGCATATGACTTGATTTCTACCAACATAGTAGATAAGGGATCCGTTGTATCTACCTTGGCCATTGTCACTGATCAACTAGAACAACTTGAGAAAAGAACGTCAGAGAATATATCATACAAATTTTGAAGCAAAATACTCAAATCAAGAACAACAGGGACATCAAATCCATATTAGTTACTCCCGAAAGGACCCAAAATTATAATGACACCAGAAAAGACCTAACTAGTAACATTAATCTAGCAAGTATTGAAGTCAAGGTAGAGAAGGTAAATAATTATAAAAACGGCGGAGTCAAAATTCAAATTGAGCAATGTTATTACCAGAAACTGAAAAATGAACTAGAAACTAAGTTAAAGGGAAAATACAATATATCAGGAGCAAGAGAGATGAGACCGAAAATTAAAATCATAGGCTACAAAACCTAAAAAAAAGCTTCAGAAGCTGAAATTAAAGAAGAAATCATATCCCAAAATACAATCATTAATGACAACGAAATCGAAATCACTTTTATTCGACACATATCATTCCGAAATTCTTGTACTATATTCGCTGAAGATTCTGGAGAGCTATATGGAGACATACTTATCAACAAAAGATCAAGAATACTACTACTCGTAGGTTGGCAAAACTTGATTGTCTAAGACAATAACCAGATATCGCAGTGTAGGAAATGCTTGAAGTTCGGTCACACAGGCGCGGAAATGTGCTCATAGAAGTGAAGTTTGCACTGTAAACATTTTAAAATATTTTAACTGAATGAACTATAACGTTAAGCATAATAAGAATAATGACGAACAGACAAAAAATGCCCGTCGTATTTATATTTTCAAAAACAGTATTCATCCAGAATAATGTTTTGAGCGTTTAGTCCTTTTTACGTTTTTCAAGCTATATAGGTATCGTTTGCAAAATTTTACATGGATAGTTACGTAAATAATTTTCAGGTGAATCATATCAATACAAATATTGCTCAAGACACTAATGCACTTAATAAATGGTTAGAAAATTCTAATTTCAAGTAGTCAATAGCAGTTCTAGTTCTTGCATTGATCATTGTTTCATCAAAAAATTTCCGGTAATCACTGTAATACTTATATCACTAGAAAAAAATAATAGTAGATCCACATACGAATGAAACAGTGAAATTTAGGTGTTTTGTCAATAATAAAAAACTACTTGCGAATATCAAATTAGAATCGTGGACAGTAGTGTACTGTGCAACAAATGTTAATGATGCTGCAAACACAATCACTGAACGCATAGATCATTTAATTGAATGTAGTACTAACCGAGTTAAAATTAAACATTTTGACAGAAGCAGCAAAATCTGGATAACTAAAGGTTTGATAAAGTCTGCCAACAAAAAAGAGGAACTATACAAAATGATGAAAGCAACACCCGGTGCAGATACCTCCTGTAAATATAATGAATATAAAAATATTTTTATCAATCTAGTTAGAGAAGCAAAACGCCAATTTTATCTAAACAAATTACAAGATACCAAATCTGATCCAAGAAAACTGTGGTCGGTTGTGGATCACTTAACTAACAAAGACGTTCAAGTGAAGCCAAATATTGATGAAATTAAGAAACATGATGGAACAATATTAACAGATTAACGACAAATATCCGATGCATTTATAAATATTTTCACAAATGTTGGAGAGATTTAGCAGCCAGTATTAAAAAAAATATTTTAAACGACATGTTCCCAAAAACCCAACTTCCCAATTCATTCTTTTCAGAAAGCGTTAGTCCGATTGAAGTACAAGAAGCTATCACTTAAAACCAAAAAAGGTCCTGGTATAGATGGTACCAAAGCTGAGCTTTTAAAAATGATAGCCTACGACTTAGCCGAACCACTTTCTTACGTCATTAATTGGTGTTTCCAATCTGGAATTGGTCCTGATGCAAATAAAACAACAGTTATTACTCGTGTTTATAAAAGCGGTGACAGAATGGAAACATCAAATTATAGACCCATATCAATCAGTATTATCGAATATAGCCAAAATTTTCGAAAAATGGTTACAAGAAAGGATATTACAATTTTTGGACAAAAACAAAATTATATGTTCTGACCAATATGGATTTAGAAAAGGAAGATCTACTAGAGACGCAATTTTGGCTGCAATGGATGAAATTAACTCTAATGTCAACAAAAAAATACCTACTTTGTTGACCTAAATAATGCCTTTGATACGGTTAACCATATCGAGCTTCTGAAAGTTTTGGAAAGATTGGGATTTAGGGGGACGTCACAAATCCTTCTAAAAAATTACCTTTCAGGTCGGACACAGACTGTCAAAATCTCTAACACTTACAGTAAAAAAATGTACATCAAGTGTGGTGTGCCTCAAGGAACAGTACTAGGCCTAGTATTATTCAGTCTCTACTTAAATGACTTATTCAAAATTAACAGTACTGGAAAGATTATTTGTTTTGCAGGCGACACCCTCCTATTATATAAATCGGATGACTGGAGCACACTGAAGCAAATAGCTGAAAAGGATTTTATAAGGATCACTGACTGGTTTGATACTAAAATTTTAACAGGTAACTTGAAAAAAACAAAATTTATTGCATTTACATCCTATTCAAAATGTTTACCTACCTTCGAACAAATCTCCGAATTATCACCTGTACCATGCCTTAGTTGAAACCCATATAATATACGGTATCACAGCTTTGGGTGCCGCCTGCGAAACATGTATATCTGACCTGGATATAGCACAAAAAACTGTTTTGAAACCCATAAGCCAAGATTATATCCGACGAACAACTCATATCATTAAACAGGAATACTTGATACAACACAACTTTATTCCTTACATGCCACCACCTTATAGCATAATGATTGTAATGAAAAAAGATCCTATAAACACGAGCATAACACACGATTTCGAATAGGCTCATTTAATATCCAAATAATCATTTAAATTCTTAGCAGCTAAATTATATAATGTAGTACCAAACGAAATAAAAATATTTAATTTTGGAAAAAAATTTAGACGAAAATTGAAAGACTGGGTTTGTACTGTGAAGCGAATGACTATACATAATTATATAGAAAACTAAAACTAAGAGATTGCAATTATATTACTACTTTTTAGAATTTCCAATAATAATTGTTATACACATATGACTGATTGTTAATTATTAAGATATAATCCACACACAGGTGATGCCTTCTGTGGTTTTTTTCATATTTGTTTGCCCATTTTTTGTATTTTGACGAATAAATATTATTATTATTATTTACGTAGATTCACTTCCCTAAGGGAAATTGCACACTGCGGAAGCCAATTCGTAACGCAGCTGCGCAGCTACTACTCGCTTTTGCACATACACAGATGAATTGGGAGATAGACCATTTTTTTCGCTCGCTTTCTGAAACTACTGCTATTACAGACTGTCGATTTTTGTTGTTGTTTCCTTATCAAACATATTTTTCACGATACTTTGTCCTATTTCTACTTCCTGGACACCCTCAAGTGCCCAGGATCATGGTCATAGTCATGGGACAAGACATACTTAAACGTAAAATTGCTCGATATTTACATTTCCGGTGTCAAAAATAGAGATTCTGAAAAGGAAAACTGAAGGTCATAGTCAAGGTCGCGTTTGAGATCCCAAATGGATGAATCTTTTCAAACGTTACAACTTTGTCCTACAATATGTTTGTCTAGGAAACGTATCTTTCGAGATATTTATTTCTATATATTCATACTTATTGAACTCCGTATATTTTCGAGAATGAAAGCATGTCTATACCCTTCATCTGGTTTCAGTTAGTACGTCTCTCCGTATTGTGGTTTGGATGTGATGCTGACAGACAGGTTACTTGCAAATATCTAGAATTTCAGGGTCTGTGCCGTCGGCTTGACCCTGGTGAGATTACGTCCCCATTCCCTACCCTAATGTATGCCCCTGTGCCCCTCCCTCTACTCCTATTCTACGTCGGCTAGCCCTTCTGCGCAGTCGCGGCCCAGCGTTTGCCTTCCGTTGTAACGCCACGAATGCCGCGATGCAGGAGGATCCTCAGTACGCTTTATTCCGCGCTAGTGTATGCTCCTATTCTGTACATATTCTTCGCGAGAGTGAATACAGTGCATTATGGTATGATGGTAAGTCCCCTTTGTTTTGATTTCATTCCCTCTACTCGAAATCATTAATGCCTAAACGGCATGTGAAGTTGTTTTGTTATTTACCTAGCAGACCGACATGTTGTTTGAGTTCATTACTTCAGACATCCTTTATGATTCAGAAACATCAATTTTATTGTTGTGAAGTGACTTACACCCCCGGTCAATCATTTACATTACCGAGGGTAGTTCGCACCAAGCAGCTATGTACCTCCTTGTAGTTCCTTCTTGCTATATCAGCAGTTTCGGCTCGTTATACGTAACCGTCGGCCTCGACTTTCGAGCCGTCGGCTCAACTAGCTTGAATCAGTCGTCGGCTGGATTCGTGGACCCGACGACTGGAATTACGGAGACGTCGGC